CCGTCACTTCCGTCTGTGCTTGTTTCCCGCACTTGACTGTCAGTTTTCATGCTCAGCCGTTCAAGTAAGCCTTCAGTCTAATCGCTGCCAAAATGTATAAAAAAAACACAAACGTCTCTGGAGAGCCTCTTTGGAAAGTGGGAGAGACTCAATGCAGAAAAAGTAAACACATATTTAACAAGTAATTTTATTCGTTTGTGAAACTTTTTAATCTAAAAAAAAAAACTAAACTAAAATTATTTTAACGTGTGCAATGACCGGTCCGTAGAAAAATTTCTTGCGTAAAATCAGTCTGTAGAGCAAAAAAGGTTGGGGACCGCTGACTTAAAGGTTCTCAGTTGCACAGAGAAGTACAGAATCATTTTCACAAAATCTAGTTACTGTCAAAAGGTTATCTTTGGCATTTTAAAAAATGTAGACATGTAGAATAAAGTGTTTTTGAAGAAATATTCCTATTTTTTTAGGATAGATTTGGTTGTTTTTTGCAGATGACACTAAAAAAGAAACAACTAGCTCAAGGACATTAAAAGTTAAAAATATTATTCTTCAGGTTTTTACAGTTTCTTGCTTTGATAAATGGTGTAATTCCGACGATTTCCTAAAGAGTAGCACTGCATTCAGGATCACTTTTGTTTGGGGGTTCAGAGGGTTAGGAAATGGAAAATTATAAACCAACAAATGTATGGATTCAGTCCTCTGGGGAAGGAAATAAAACCTAAAACACCTTAAATTTGTATTGGGATTAATAAAAAAAAACTGAGGTAAACCATCAGCCATATCTGTCAAATACAGACCTCCACACTCCTCTATGATCTCGGCAATAGTGCTGGCTTCGTCTCCCGCCATGATGAGGATATTCTTGAGGCCGTCCAGGACAACCTGCACGACCTGGGAGTCCTTCACCGACAGCAGGTTACAGAACGGAGGGATGACGTTCTGCTCCACCAAGAACTCCACCTACACAAACCCACACATACACACCACATCCATACTTGATTACAACATAGGAACATGGTTACAAGTGTGGACAGTGTCTCTGCAATTCACTCACAATGACTTCATAACTTGACAAGTCAACACTGCCTAGCTTCATCCTTCAGTGATGAAGTGTAAATGATGAAATCCTATATGTCTGGCATGCTAAATAGGGTTCTGAAGTTTAAATAAAATATTTAAAAATATACATCTCCTTGATAGTAACAAATACTGTTAAGCACAATCGGCAAATTTGCTCACCTGGTCTTTCCTTCCACTGATGGTGAGGTTGCTGATGGCCCATGCTGCCTCCTTCTGAGTGCCAAAATCACCCTGTAGAGAGCCAGGCTGTCACTGAGATGTACTACAACAGCATACTGCCAAGGTGCACAGAAAATCTAGGCCACTTTCACATTCAGTGTCCATTTCATTTACCAAGAGTCGTTTGGTTATCTGACTACAAAACATGAACAGTGTCAGTGTCAAGTAACGCCAACATTTTACTTTTTAAAAAATTTAGGGTCTGGCATCATCTGTGGAGAAAACTCAGCAGAAATACAGCATAGTAAATCTAAAGCTTATTTTTTTCCCCCCTGCTTCTCCACCATGGACAAACCTTAGCCAGTTGGTGAATGATCATAGGAATCAACCCAGCGTCGATCACAGCTTGGACCTGCTGTTGGTTCCCAGCTGTTATGTTGGACAGGAACCAGACTGCTTCCTGCAAACACACCAATAGCAAATGCTCACAACCAGCACTGGAGCCTCAACGCACAGAAATATTCTTTCAAACATGAGTCATTTCTGGATTTAGCGCAGAAACTCACGGTCTGTGCTCAACTTTCACGTCTTGTATACCTGATTTATTAAACAGTCAAAGCTACGGTAAAGTATAGGTTTGTGTTTGGATTTCAATGAATGCAAACCTTCACAGGACTGAAGACGACAAGGCCAATGTTACTGCTTTTAAAAATGATTTGATTTCAGTGAATGATTTAAAAGTAATTCGCTCATTATTAATCCACTGAACCCCAACACCTGCAAGAGGGTTTGGATGGGATGTTATTAAAAAATATGTCATAGCAAGAACCTATGAAAATAGAAACAATCGTACAATTTTTAACTTCCCCACCAACTAATTGTGCTGCTTTTTCATCTGGAAAAACGGCTACATTTAAGTATAAAATCAGGATATCAAATCAAAACCACTTATTTTTCATTTAAGAAGTTTGATTATGTAAAAATTAAAATGATAATTAAAAAAATACACTCCTTGGTGCAAGTAATAAAATATCTAGAATATGTAGGTTTGTCTTTTTCTAGTGCTGGTAACACTTGTACATGTTGATTCTAGCTTTTTTCCATTTTTGTCAAATAAAGATTTAAAGAAACTCAATTTTCTTTTTCCTTTTCACCTTTTTTAAATGATTTAAGATATTTTAACTGTTTCATGCTGCATAAAATCAATTTTAGTTCTCTCTACTTCTGTTCGTGGTTGTGCTGCTTCCATAGAGGTGAAGGATTTTATGCTGCAGAGAAAAATGAGCTCACAGTAAAGAGAAATAAGACAAAAACAAAAAAAACGCTTGTAGTTTAGACAGTTAAATGTGGGTTAGTAAGTGTAGTTAGTAACAGTTTTCTTTACATGAAAAAAAGTAATTCTACTATAAGCTCGTGCACTGCTATGTAAGAGAATATGTAATGGAACACGACTACAAACCTGCTCCTGTAATATTATACTTCCTGACAGTGAAACAGATCTCTCTCTCATAAGCGCCTTGAACTTCACGGCGATTCTTGAGGCGCACATACCGTAATCCTACGTTCATGCAAAGCTTTAAGATACCACCAGACTTGCACAACAAAAACAACACGAAGGCTGTGGTGTAATACCTTGTTGATCTTCTCTTTAGGGTGTGTGAGCAGGTTGGGGAAGTGTGAGAGGACATCGCAGTTGAGAACCACCTGTGTCTGCTCGTCCGTCCCTGTCACAATGTTTCCCACTGCCCTCAGAGCTGCCGTCTGTGTTTGGGGGCAAAAAGCGGGGCAACAAATAACTTGAAATTGCTTTACTGATTAATTCCAGGAGGATGAAAAATAACAGTGGTCTTGTAAATGCCGGCAGAAGGCGAAAAGTAATGAATTAGGTCATTAAAAACAACAGTCTTACCTGAACTTTCACCTCCTGATGGCTGAGGAGAGGCACAAGAAATGGAACAACTCCAGAATCGATGACCATCTGGATCTGCTCGTTGCCTCCGTCCGTCAGGTATGACAGAGCCCACACCGTGTCTACTAGGATCTGAGCAAAAATACACACAACTCATAAGAACTCATAATCATTATGCCGCTTGCATTGTGGGTAAAATGACAGCACAATGCACAGAGTTTGTTTCAATCAATATAAATCAGTAAACACAAAAGGACACTTGGACACTCGCATTTGAGTCTGATACTTACATTTATATCAGTGTGATATATTAGCACACAGAGGGCTGGCAAAATCTGCAGGGAAAGAAAAGTAGGTTGTGAGTGGGATGGACGTAGGCAGTGGAATAGATGGATACATGAAGGTAAGACAGAAAAAAAAAAAAACAGGGCAGTGCAAAGAGACAAAAAGAGTCACACAGGGACAAAGCTGTCAACCAGAATCCAATTGATGCCAAAAGAGCTTTAAAGTCAGAAATTCTCCTGGGTGATGAGGCTGATTTGGCTACTGAAAAGGCGCTGCAGAAGCTCTTTGTGACTCAGCCTGCAGTGTCACAGTCAACTGCAAAGAAACACATCCATCTGTCTGGCACATGAAAAGCCGGCGCACAAGCAAACATACAGACACACCCACCTCTTGCACAGTCTCCATGGGTGGTGGTGGATCCTTGTTGCGGCAGAGGTTAACGATGACCCAGGTAACGTTGCGGAGGAAGGTGATGGGGATTGATGGGTTGATGAAAGAGAGCAGGGGCTTGACCACGCCCAGGGCGATGACGTAATCCCTGCACTGTGGACCATCACCTGGGGGGGAGGATGTACGCAGGTTAACATAACTCTGCATAGTTGCTTTCAAATACTGTACACACTTCTATCACTTACCTATAATGTTTCCTAAAGCCCATACAGCCTGTTCACATACGTTCTGGTGAGGAGAGTGTAGCAGTCGCAGGAACAAGGGCACTGCATCTAGACGCACAAACATCAACACATCAAAAACTTGCCCAAGCTGACAACACATATCCATTACTGTGTCACATCTTCTCTACATAACATCCGATCTGAACTCGGGTCCGGCTGATATGGATTTTTTGAGGCCGATGCCGATTCCGATATTTGGTCATTTTTCTTTCTATGGAACATGCATGAGTATAGCTGCCAGCTGTACTGATGAATTTATCTTTAGATTTAGGCCACAGGTGTATGCTGTATATAGGCAACATAATGAGTTTGGCAAAACATTACATATGCAGCCCTCTGATGCCCTTTAACGTTAAATCACATTTTCTCTACTCCATTATTTTCTTCGCCATGAAGTCATGACTCATATGAACCAAAATAAAAAACCAGAGACGCCTTTTCTCAGATGTCAAAACATGTCATCTTTGACAGAGTTGCATTTTAAATATCTAATAGTCACAAATAGCTCCTCCTTAATGCGCCTCAACACACAGCTGACGGAGTGATGAACGGTCGTCCTGCACTCTCAAAGACTGTGCTGTCTTTAAAGTTGATGAGAATAAGGTAATAAAAATGTAAGTTAAATAAGCAAGTTAAAAAGTTGGATACAAAGTTTAAAAAGTTGTTTCTGTAGTTCTCTGAAAACCCGTCAGAGTGAAGCTCTATGCGCTGTTCTGGTTTAAGAATTTGCGGCAGAGTGAGCGATCTTACCGCTGTATGTTCGTAGGCTATCTTAATTTTTGTCATCTCCTTGAGTCAAATTTGATTGAAGTGTTTTATACACTTTCGCCTTGGAGAATATTTGTCTTTTTACAAAATCAAATTGTACAAAATGAATGTACGAAAGCGACTGTGACACTTAACAGCATTTATTGTTTTATGAAAAATTAAGAATATATTTGCGTTTAATCAGCAAAACTCCAGCCGATGATGATTATTTTGAAAAGGGCTGTAATCGGCCGATTTAATCAGCCAGCTAATAAATCAGTCGGGCCCTAATCTGAGCCTAAGTAGGGTTATCAAGAAAAAAGTACTGATTCTGAACTGGTTACCGGCCCTGTTCCTGAGGAATGTGTACTCTAAGGCTGAATTCAAAATGTCCACCATTTGCCTGGACTGTGAAGGGATGAAATGAAATGGGCCTTACACCACCTCACACGTTTCCATGGAGATGAATGGAAATTTGTGACCCTGTAACTCATTTTGAACTTGTTTTGTGAATGGTGCTTTCAAGTAGTCACACTGGCAACTTGCAACATGTGCAGCTGAATTAGGGAGTAGATGATGATTATTGGGGGCCGACGGGGGTTATTTTCCACGTTTCCATCACACAGGCAGCTAATTCTACACTGACATTTGGTGCTTCCCTTGCCAATTATTGTGGATTGTGAACAAGCTAAAAACAAACATTGTATCCACAAATAAAGCGCTTCAGCTGCGTTTTTGCGTATCTGACAGAACAATAGGCCTCTGTGTTAATTAGTACACTTATCTACGCCATCAGCCTAACAGCTTGCGTGTCACATGCACTATACGCACATAGCCGTGGCCAGAAGGCTTCAAGTTTATTTTTCAATTCACGCACATTACTACAGTCATTGTGACTTGGGCTCATACCATTTCCAAATACAGACGATCAATTCTCAACACTATCTAAATGCTTTTGTGTAAACGGATCACCCTCCATTGCTGTTGAACATGCTGCTATCAGTAGACATTTTATGTAGAAATGGTGTAAGCATATGCAACAGTTAAGTCTAAATAGGTAGGTATAGGGACATTTGCTTAATATTTATGTTTTAAATTGCTGACTTTTATGGATATAACAATACAGCAGAGAAAACAACAACAGATGTTTTTTTTCATTTGCTTTGAAAAAATGTAAACACGCATCCCTAATGGCCATAATTCTTATTTAATCATAATAATAATCACAAGAACAAGAACAAGAAGGAAATGTGTTTACTGTCAAGTATTAAATAAATAAAATGAAAAATGCCCATTAGCACAAGTGAACATATTCACATTTACTTTAAATTAACCATTAATGCTAACAGTGCTATTTCAGCTACAAAGCTTGCACCAGGGATATCGTCATCTTGTTTGAAAAAACTTTACGAGCACTGTCAGGAGACAAAGTCACTGAGGTCTTGACATTTACCCTCAGGGTGTGATTTCGGGTATGTTTCAGGTATGTGACATTCCTTAGTTTGACACAAAGTTGTAACAACTCTGTAACAGGCAGCTTATCTTATGAATACTGATCATGTTTTCCACTATGCAGTCATGTTGTTCTTATTAGATAACAGTGCGCTCTTACTTTGAAAGAAAGCCAACATCCAAAGAATAACTGTGCCTCACTGAGTGAAGAAACAAATAAATATGCTTGCTTGGCAGATTGCAGACAGTGTATAAACACAGACTGAAGGGGTAACATTGGGGAAAGACAGAATGTGGGGTCAACTTACTGGATTTAACCACAGCCTGAGTCTGTGCTGACGTCCCAGAGGCAATGTTGGTCAGAGCCCAAGCTGCCTCAAACTGAAGAGAGGGACTGGAAGACAGAAAGAAAACAAAAACCAGTTAAAGCTTATTTAATTTACACAGCAGATGGGAGAGAAAGGGGGAAATGAATAATGATAAATATAGATGCGCATAATTGGTACTTTTTTTTTTTTTTACATGTTACATGTTTTTCAAGGCTGGTTCCAAGCACCAACCACCTAGACAATAAACTTGTCTGTTTTGGGCCTTCCAGTATCAAAAAGGCTTTTTGGAACATACATATCAAACCTATTTTAATCAAAATTGTGCTGCTCATAAAGGCACACAGTTTGATAGAACTGGTCTCTTTATACAAAGACAAATAATAATTCATACTATAAGTGCAAACCTCGAACAAAAACATTGTGGTGGAGAACATGTGACTCCAGATACGTGGTCTAGATATCATGCAGTTTTGCAAGCTGAGGCTGTGCTCAAAATGGAGGACGATCATGAAATGATTTTACGAAAAACTGATGCAACACAACATATTAGAAATCACACACTTGCAAGTGATCCTCACACCACCCACGAGCCAAATGCTAGTAAGATGTGGCAGAGGATGGTCTACCCCATTAAACGTTTCATCAGGCAGTCGACCATGATGTGGAGTTCCTACTGTTTCCTGAAGCTTTATCTTCTTTAGCTGAGATGTAAAGCAGTAAACAGGGCGTGGTGTTCTTTGCATTGTAACCAGCCACTGTAGTTACCTCCAGACTGAATAGCTTTATTTCTGCCTTGTCATACATTCACAGATGTCATTTAAAGTGCTGCCGTTGCTGGTTTTCATGCAGCACAGTTTATTGTGAAGCTGTATGTCAAACTGAACTAGCTTTGCTTTCTGTTTATTATTTCTCAATGATTACTCATGCATCATAACGCAAGAATGTAAAAACAACAAATGTCCAATACAAGCTTCGATTCTAACATGATGCTATCTGCTGATGGTTGTTATGGTAAAGCCCTTACAATTTCTTCCTTAAATGTTCTTCCAGCCCTACTATTCAATCACTCCCCCCTCAGTGAACACAAGGTCCTGGGAATTGGGGAACTCCGAGAGACAGGAATGTTGATATATTTGGCTTGGCCTGTACTGAGAGGACCAGCCAGCTGCCCTGCATGCCTCCACACACTCTCACGTGTGGACACAGTGGGAAACACAGCCTCATGCACACAAAGCCTCTGTTGGAGCACAAACCTGATGCAGCAGCAGCATCAGTAATCTATAAAAAAGAAAAAAAAAATGCACAGCAGTCTTCACTCACAGTTAAACACTACAGACTGCTTTGGAGGCAGACTTACTTGTCGTCCCTTTCCAGGCATTTGACTAAAATGGGCAGGATCCCAGACTTTATCAAGTCATCAATGGGAGGGTTTCTGTCACTCGAGAGCAGTTTTCTGATAAAAAGGAGACACAAAATTAAGAACAGAATATACAAAAACAGCTGCTGTCTGTATATATGTGTGTTTTGTGGGAAACTCACCTGGCTGCCTGTACAGCACTGAGCTGTATAACTGCATTATCACTGGTAGCATTCTGTAGTGACAAGTAACCATAGTACAGATTACTACTACATAACTGACCAACAGTTAAGATGCTATTGCTGAGACGTTTGGGAAAGGTTAATGCATGACTGAAACCTTGAATGATGTAAACTCTTACCTGTAAGATGGCATCAAGCGTGACATTTTGCTGCACAAAGAGAAATGCAAAAGAACTGTTACAATATGCTAAGCACATTATCGTCTACAATCACAAAATAAAGAACCAGCTGAAAACGCACACTACAAACTTATACAAAATGGTGCATTTTAGTTGTGTTATATACAGGTTTGATAGTTAATAGCCTGTATTTTATAAGGAACAGACATATCTGCTATGTAACGGTGATAACAGGTGCTTTACAGCTCTCATGAGACTTTGACAGCTCTTCTATGCTTTACACACAAGGCAAAAAACACTGGGTGAAATGACCATTGTAGGCAAAAAAAAGAAATGAAAACCAACAACAAGAAAAAAACAGGCATAAATCACTTGGAAAAGATGGATTAGTAACAGATTTACAAGAAAAATATCACATATTTATGAGGAAAAAAAATTGAATATTCTCAGATCATGAAGTAAAATTCTGAGACTTAAGTTATGAATGAACATTTTTTTAAAAACCCGCATCAAGAAACCCTACAGCTTCACTATGCAAAGCTGAATCAACCTCATCACATCACAGACGTCCCTGATAAACAGGAAATGCCAAATGCCAAATGCGCCGTTGTAAGGATTTGAAACATCATCAAACATGGCCTTGCATCCATCTAGTTTCTGATGCACAGAAACTATCGCCTCATCCAAATCAGTATGTCGTTTGTGTTTACAATGCATCTTCAAAGTCTGGATAAATATGATATTAAGGTGATTAGAGGCTAGAATCACGAGCATTTCTTTATTGCTAAATCCAGCTACAAAGTACAATTTGATTATCCACTGCAGGACTAACACACATCCAATGTCAGCCTCTGTGAGTGATGAGGTTGATCTATAGGTTTCCAAGTCGTGGCATTAATACTTTTAAGGGCAGCAAACAGAAAAAACTGCATCAGTCTTTGCCACGACCACCCTTTGCCTTTAAAACAACACTTGCATGCAGTTTTTTTCAAGTGGCAGGTAGGCTGCTCCAAGCGTCTTGGAAAGCTTGCCATGGTTTGGTGGATTTAGGCTGCTTCAATTGTTTCTGTAAACCCAGACTGACTTGTTGATGTTGAGATCGGGTTCTGTGGTGTTTTTTCAGTCCTGGACAAAGCTGGCTGTATGCTAGGAGTCATGGTTTTGTGGTGCAGAATGAATGAAGCACTGATGAGATGCCTCCCCAGTAGGACTGCATGATGGGTAATTATGTAAACATCTCAAGTGCCTAAAACCTACAAATTTAGTATGGTATAGCACAAATATACATATTTATATTTACAGGACAAAATGCATCATCCCAAAATGCTACGCAGAATTCAGAGTGAAAACATGTAATAATGGACTTAAAACTAAAATCTGTTTTATGTATGAGAGTTGCATTAACAGACAATCCATAGATCGGATTGCTGATCAATCGGCTCGCTTTGAGATCACCTTAACAACTTTCTAACCCCTTGAACTTCAGGGTTCATGCATAGTTTATGCCTGTATTTCATTTAAGGATGGCAGCTTTGCCTCCCACAACAGCTGTTTCGAGGTATTCTACCGCCCACTCTCATACATGTTCACTTGAAGGATGTCTCCGAACAATCTTGGATATGTTCTCCATATATTCCCATAGCAACTTAGTGGTGTTTTGCGCATTATGGGATGTTATATGCTCTGCCATGAAAATCATTTTATACGGTTACACACAATTCTTCTTTAACACCGCAGCAGAAAAGCTCCGGTTATGATCACCGTATATCTTAAAATGATCATTTAGGCACCGACAGCTGAGATCATCTCTCCTTATAGACAGTCTTTAACCATCTGGACCAGCCAGTGTAGCACAGAAGTCATCGGTGATTAAAACTGTTTCAAAATGAGTTTTTCATGCATTTTTGAGTCTCTGCAAATGTTTTAGGGGTGGCTCAGCTTTAAGTACAAACGTCCAGGCTCTAAAGGATCCTGCATCAAGAGGATGGAGCAGCTTCAAACCTCACTGGCTGCACAACAGTCTCTTTTCTACAGCTGCCCGTTTAACACTAACAATTTGTGTGATAGATTCCTTAATAACCTTCTAACTGACAGAACTGGCCTATGTTCAGAATCGCTCTCAAATCTTTTCACAGATTGATGATCTCTCTTCAGTTTCGCAAAATATCAGCGGTTTTCAGGCCTTTTGCAAGACAGTGCACCAGTTTAGATTCTTTCTTTTCTTCGGAAAGCTCTTTCATCCTCCCTGCAATGCATGAGAAGTGTGACTCACCGAATAATGGGGAACCTCCTATTTTTAAGTTAAGATCACCTACGAAACTAACAAACCAGGTTGAAAGAGATGGCATTTGTCTAAAAAGATAAGAAAAATTAATCTAGCAAAAACTAAAAAAGCACATGCTTTTATTTGATTGAAATCCTACCGAGGTGTTCACTGCATTGTCAGCGTGAAGCACGGTTTGCAGATTGATTAGAATAAATTCATTTTATCCATTCAAATAGGAGACTAGAAAGCTTGAAAGGGGTTGAAAATCTTCACGATGCACTGTAAATAAAATCCAGTGCCCTCTGGATTTTAACTCTTCAGACACGTTACCCAGATAGCCTGGTCGCACAGCATCTCTCCCACTGAAGCACAGACCCACCACACACCCACACTTACTCCTTTGAAGTCTGAGTCGACGTCAGAGTCCTCCAGACTCTCCTCCAGCGGGACATTTCTCTTCTTCAGTAAATGTTCGTCTCGTTTGTTCTGACAAGAGGATAAAAGACAGAAGAGGGATGAGGGGTGGGGATGAAAGCGTTCATTAATGCATTCATGAATTCTTAAAGTCACAGCGAATCTAGGCCTACCGCAAAAAAAAATCTAAACTTTTACTTTATGGAGAACAGCTTCTTGGCAGAATTCCTGCTCGAAAAGGTTAATCCAGAGAAAACTGCCTGCAGACTAATCCACAAAGCAAACACACACACACACATCTTTGAGGGACGCTGAACTTTAACCCTAAACACACACTGCGACCCCATCAAGCACATATTCATTCGGTATCAACGTACAGGCCATGTGAGTCAGTGGTAGGAGGAGATTCCCTTGCCCTACATTCCTGTGCATCATGCTGATGTGCGTCACTGATGACTAATCAGCTAGTGCAGTGCTTCTTGCTGCTCTGATCCAGCTAAATGGAATGCGCTAGACGTGAGACCACCTCAGCTCCCCACAGCTCTGACGTTTTATGTTTTAACCCCCCCTGACTGTGCCGCTGTTCTCCAGGCATCTGCCGATGGCTGTTTGTTTACCAGTATTTTCAGACTATCACTGAAAGTATAAAACCGGCGGCGGCGGCGGCACTCATGGTAATTAAAATCACAAGTTCGGACGGCCCTATAGCAAGCCGTGCCTCTGCTTGTGAACCAGTGTCACCTAGATATTCATTTCTGAAGGGGAAAACGCTCATGTAACGGTCCATCACTTGGAACAGGCACGTTTAAATTAAGTTCTCACTTTGTCTGAGGACACTTTCACCCTTTCAGTGTCTACCTGTGTTTCCTATTCCAGGAGACTAACACATCAACAACATCACATGAATCAAGGAATTTGTCAAGATGACTCCGACTAAAATTACTTTTTAGACAAATACAACGTCCTAGCTTCGACTTTATGATGGATATAATCCCGCAGGATACGTCTTTATTTCTCAAAGTCACTGGGTGTGAGCTATTTGTGATGATACTTCTCACTGTCAAATATGCACAGAAACAAAGAACTCTTAACCCAGCTACGATGTGCATGATTTCTCATATGCGACACACCAAAATCCGCCACAAACTGTGCAATGATGAAAACAGCCCGATAACAATCAGCAAGCTAAAAAGGTGCATGACAAAGCTGATTTCTCAGCCCACAAAGAGAAAGCACTTCAAAGCTTTTAAACCTCCGATGCTGCTAAACTGCACTGAATTTACCTTTAAGATCCACAACAACAAAAACAAAATTGTTGCTTATTCCAAAGATCTCAATACATGACTGACAACCACACAACACGCAACTATAATTTGGGTGGTAAATCTCACCTTACTGAGCAGCTGCTGGAGGATCTGCTTCTAGTCCGTGCAAATCTGACTGACTGTGCTGTATCTGCTATTTTAAGCAACTCTTCACAGTTCTAACCAAAAAAATGCATTAGTATCGGCAAGAAATATCCCATCAGGCGCTGTCAGTGTCCACAAAGAGTGTCTCAGAGTGAGCGTCAATGAAGCGGCTCTGAAGTGTCGTATCACACGCCGAAGTCTAGGCCTAGTTCCTCCTGACTCCGGAGATTTATGATCAAAAAAATTATATTAATATCAAACCTCATTTCTCAAGGTGAGGATATGCATTGGTTGAAACATCAGTCTTAACATCTCCAGCTACAAAACCAATGTTATCATTTTAGAGCTTAACAACTGCAAACTACCCAACAGATAAACTTAAAAAATAAAATAAAAATGAGCAACAGATGAAGAATCCTGTGTAGGCATGGCTCTATCAGTAACAAAACAAAAAGTGGCAGCAATACAGAATCACATCACAATATGTAAAACCCTGTGTAGTCCTCACATATAAGAAAAGCCAGTTTGTTGTGGAACTGTAATGGCATCTTGAGTATTTTACAAAGTGTAATTAAAACAGGTGACTAAAGTCCACCAGAGTGATGCTAACTATTATACAAAGGTAAACACTACACATGCACCACATCATCTCTGATACATTATGCTGATGGTAGTGTTTGGGCAGGCGTGGCTACCAGTGAAACCAGCGTACTGCTGTTCACAAGTCAGTGCTGGTGGCAGAAGCAGAGCGAACGCAATAAGTTACATCTGTTCAGACGATGCCTCTTTATAAAGACGCAATAACTCCAACATGTAAATGCAAATTAAACCAACATCAATTCAGCTGAAATAATGTTATGAATAAATGCGGAAGGCAGCTATAATTTACAAGCAAGAAATTATGACATCTGCACTGTGTGACGTTCAGAGGTCATAAATTTAGGCGATCGATCAGTGAATTACAAAAACATGCATTCAAAACTGAACATAATGGCATGACATCATTTAATACACTGATGATCCAACAATCCTTTTTTTTTGTCCATAGTACAAAACAGATGAACCAAAATGGCAATATGCAATGCCAATTAAAACTTTACACCCCTTATTCATTTTTTAATCCAACAATCCAAACCCATATCAGTGCTACATCAAACATTTGAGACTTGCTGTTCCCAATGCAGCAGAAAATTCACAACAAACTGGCTGGTCTGGAAGCAAAAAGTGACCCTCGCCCAACTGTTGTGGCAGTTCAGTCTAATTTGAAAACATACTCTGCTGAAATTGCAGACATGCTGGGTAAAGTAACTGGCAGCCTGTTGTATTTGGGTAATTCTGCTCTTTGTATGTATGTTTTTTTTGAACAACTACATTTTTCTAATGTGACAAGCAGCTTCCTAAACATCCCACTGTATTGGAAAATACACTAAACGGATTTGAAACTGGCATTGCATATTTTTAGAAAAGCAAATTCAGTCTGTTTTGGATCTACATATGTCTGATATCTTGCCGGGAACAGACCATCAGCTGTGGATTGTTCACTAGCAAATGCAAATATGCAGTTTATTCAGATGCATTTTTCAGTTGCCTGTCTCACATGTGTCTGATGGAACACAACCCAGCTGTCTGCACTGACGGCACGATGGCTTGTATTGTACTTACTCTATAGGCCCGGAAAACACAAGCCAAAGCATATTTTTACACTTTAAGCCTATTTTTCTGCATTTCACACCATTAATTAACTACAATGACTGTCCAATAGATTCCAGTTATTAGTTATATAGTTCAATAAGGTGCCTGAATGTGTCCTGTGTTGACAGACAGAACAGCAGAGCTGCTGCTGCTCTTTCAATGTGACACTCACGCTATGCCTTCTGTATATATGCAGAGTTACACCATTTGGGCCAACATCAAATGTAATCAGTTTAAGGTAATGAATCTTATTTTTCTTCCATTTGTCAAAAGACAAAATCCGACTGTTGTCTAGTAGATGCGCTGTCGGCTTGGCAACGTCTGTAACAATAACGCCAAACTCCAGCTAGCTACCAAGAGAATGAAAACATGTCTAGGTATCAACCCAGTGTGCGAACTGATAATGCAAAGTAGCTGCTGGAAAAAAAAAATGCTGGTTATTAAAAATGACTATTTATTTGCAGGTGGATTGCATATACATGCATACATGTATGTATAACCAGCATACATGCAGTCATGAGCAACAACTGACAGACAAAACCATTAACCAGAAGGCAAGTTGAACAAATCATTTTGAGTATTGTTGCAGAATATGTACAAAAAACCCCCAAAATATTAACAGCAGAAATCCATAAATGCCGAATAAATCTAAGTGAATTTAGATAGTATGTGTTTGTAGGAATGGACCAACCAAACAGGTACATGGAGCAACCACGTGTAATGAACTTAAATGCTAAACTCTGCAGCTTTATAATGTTTTGTACACAGATTGCATCGCTGCATTCTGATCGTTCTCAACTCACAATTCCTGTCAGAATCTTCAATTTCCTCAACACATACACTGGTCTGGAATCAGTGTACAATACTCTAACAGAGGCCTGCTTTTTTCTTTTTTGTGTGTGTGTGCATGTGTAGACAGATGGTGCATCATTTCTCACCTTTCTCAATTCAACTGTCACCTCATTTCGATGTCTTCTCATAGTCTGTAACAAAGAAGGAAAAACACTGTAAATGAAAAAACAGTTTCCTTACACATGTAGATTTAAAAAAATTCAACCCTTTACTGTGGTAGGGAAATATGTATGGTAGCTTTTTACAAAATTTAAAGCAATGCTATGGGTACATCACAAGATAGGTGAGCAAAAGACATCAGGTTGTATATTTTACATTAAGGGACACACCTTGTCACTCACATTGCTTTAAAATGAGAAAACTTGAACAACATGGGGAAAGTAAGGCATTATCTGATTTAATTCAGGCATAAATCTGACACTGCGTATCATTAAAAAACAACCACACACAGTTAAAGGTTAGATGTTTGTGAGACGACTTAAAAAGAGCACAAGCGAGGACAGACAGTTTAACAAATTGCTGTATTTGTGTGTATGTTGGGTTTCCACTTCATCCAGAACAGTTTGAGATGGTCTCAGATCTTGTGACTGTTTGAAGAGGTTCATGTTGCCTTCCTAAATAGCCTCTTACGTAATCTAGGACAGTCATAACTCAGGAAGCTGTGGAGCAGAGAGGTGTCTCCCAACCACTGCAAAACAACAATAATGCCACAACGCTGACCCGCACAAAATGACCCATAACAGGGGAGCAAACACCAAAACACAACAGGTCGATCTGACTATCGAGAGAAATTAATGTAGCTCAGAACACCGGATTGGTTTGATTTTGGCTAATTCTGTTGGTTGATGTCGCCAAAATAAGAGCTGTTAAAATAAAAAAAGGTACCATAAATATATGCCTAAAAAAATGTTTGAGCCCATACAGGTGCCACAATAGATACTCAAAAGTCAGAATGATTATTTGCAGTTTCATTCGATGAGCCAATTCTGTGATAGAAACACGTTGCCAATCCAAACCAGATTCTACATGGTATCAGTGAAAACAGAGGAGGAACTGATGTCCTCCAGCATGTCAGACTTGACTGCTTTGCAATTCAACGCTGCTCCTAATGGTGTCAGAAATGAAGAGCAATCTGTTATGCCTGACCTAAATAAATAAAACCCAAACTGGCATTTTTTTCTCCCCCCCTGCTGTAGTCTGAGTCATCCATTTACAAAAACTCAAATTCATGCAGAGGCTCTTAAGAGGACCCAGGTCAGACATCCAAGATGCCTGAAATAGCATCAGGAATGCACTTGGCAAAGTCTGTCTGTCATAGTAGCCATGTGCTTGTCAGACTGACTGAAAGTTTCAAAACAACCACCTTACTGGGCACCGATCTGTGCTTTGAGAAAAAAAGATGGTGAAACTTCCAATGAGCCACCCTGATGGATTGTATAGGGCCCTGCTCAGACATACCTTTGTTTTAGGATTATCTCAGGATTACCAAGAGGTCAGAACAACTCAGCACAAGTATGTCTTTGTTGGTAAACCCCACGGCTAAGAGAGATGCTTTCTGATAAATTCCATACATACCATACATAATTTAAACAAGTCCAGATATTTGTTGCTTCATTTGACATCTCTGGATCTAACGCTGCTGGCTTCCTTTCACTTGTGTGAACGCAGCCTTGACCAAATGCTTTGGTCATCATGTCAACGAGCATTGCAGACAAATGCTGTCAGAGAGATTTATAATTAGACGTGTGACTTGAATGATGCTGCAGTACCCAGCGTTTTAGAGCAGATTCACAGGTGTTGTGCAAAAAAGTGATCGTCCGCCAAAACCAGATTGCGTGCTTCATTATAAAGCTGTATTGACCAGTTTATATACACCTACAGCTGCTTTGTGGATGCTTTTATGTGGATCAAACAGTCATACAAAGACGCAAATTCATATAACTTTGTGTGAGTCTTTGTGAAACTTTTACATTTATTGTAACTTTTGTGGCCAAAGAAATGTTAGTTTATAGTGTAAGTAGGGCATTTAGGATAATGTTGGGGACTAATATAGTATTGTTTAGGCTGAATGTGTTGGGTTTGTTTAGTATCCCTGCAATTACCTTGATTTACTGATGGACCTTATAGGCAATATTAAAAAAAAGTCAGCTCTTGCAATTATCTTATGGGCTCTAATTTTGAAAACCTTGTGAATGAAATCAAGTCATTCTGATGCATTAACAGCATTTCATTTACATTGTAGGTGCTGCAATCACTTCTTTGGCAAATGGAAAACTGGTTTATATGAGTAAGCCGGTCTTTACAGCTAATAAAACCAGTAAAAAAAACTGGATTGGTAACAATCAAGGGCACAGAACAGGCAAAAAAAGAAATAAATAATGCAGATACATAAGGATAAATGCTCCCATGGATGGCAAACAGCTTTTGGCAGAGGATCACTTTTTGGCACCACACCGTCAGAGTACACAGACGACCGATGGCGTTTTCTAGAATATGTGATACACATTTATGATCTGTATATTTGGATTAAATGTTCTGACATAACCGTTCATAAGTCTGAGAGAATATTACAGCGTTACATAAAGTTATAATTAACCGATGCTCGATGTTAACTACGTTTAAGGTGTCTGTTCTCACTGACAGACGAGCGTTTATTTAGTTGGAGCTTTTAGCGTTATTCCACATCGAAATGGACCGTAAACCTAAGGTCATCCCATCATTACCATCCGGCTAACCGTTTAGTGGCTTAGCTAGCAGCTCGGTTTAGCTGCCTCACCTGGTATTGCATGCTAGCCGACTGCTTGACGTTAGCAAGCTAGCAAGGAGGGGCAATATTTGGTTAGGGTGGATGTGGAGCGGACATTTAATTCAACATAAACCAGTGTTTTACCAACAATGACAGCTGTATGTGACGTTTGCGGTTCAGCCCTGGCGTCACTTAGAGTCGGCCGGCTGTTTAACATGTCAAATATGAAGATTATGGTGCCGGTCGGGCCCAGCCTCGCCTGCGACCGGTGTACCTCCAACTAGCTAGTTAGCTGCCAGTGACAGCTACATCGCCTGCCCTTAATTCTCCCAATTCCAACGAGCCAAGTGTGATGTTACTTACTGTTCCCAAACATCAGCTACTGGAGATTGATAAGCCACTGGTGTTATCTGGGTAACTATCACCGTTTAATTCTGGGGGCGATATACCAATAACAAGATAGCACCTTTGATGGCGAACTCTTTAGCTAGTTGGGCTAGCTAGCTAGCTGGCTGGCTGGGCTGACTGGCAAGCAGCTGCAGCCGGGGCCAGGCTCCCCAACGAGGCCCACAGACTGTCGTTTTTTTTTCCCCCCTACATAAAACTAATTCGATTCACGTTGTCTACACTCGCGTTTACATGTCAGCTCACCTCGACATCACGCCCTTTATTTTTAAAGCTCTTGATGCGGTGGTTTTCCAAGCCGGCGTTTTCTGCCATGGCTGTATGGGGGGTTTCGCTGTTACTCCGGCTTTCGGGATCTCCTCCGTGAAAGACGAGGCACGGCAGCTCCTGCGCTGCTGCTGGCTCCGGAGAGGGGGGAGGAGGAGGAGGAGGAGGACGTAACAGATCGCAGAGTGAGGGGAGGAGTCAACGCATACCTCCTGTCTGGGCTGTCCTGGTTTCCACGGCTGCTTTCACGCACTGACAATACGTTCACCTGCGATTTACTGGGAGCAGAGGCTGTGAAATCCTCATTTGTGCGCAACAATGACAAATGATCATCAACAAACTAATAAACACGAATCATGAGTCAAAGGTTGATGCCTCCAGAGACAAAAAGTTTTAATCAATCAACAATATTTGGATTTGTACAGTAACATTAGTGCAAACAAAGACAAGCATTTTTTTCTTTTTTTTGAAATATTGAACTGTCACACTTCAGCAGCAGATATGTAATGCCAATACAAACACGACAGATTGACATTTTCAGATATATCTCTAATCAGAGACAACCAGCACCGGCTCTGGTAATATTCTGATATTAGAATAAATACACTGCAAGATTTCTGGACAAAAAAAAAAGAAGAAAATAAAGAGAGGCCGTTAAGAAGAGGAGTGATTTTGAAAATTAAGTAATCTTGATACACAGACAGAGTCAGCGATTTGAAGAGATAATTCACGTTGTTAAACGGTTCCCAGCACCTTCACCTCGGCTGTCCTCCTGGAATGTGCGCAGGTGTTTTAATCCATCTCTGTATCAACTCGAATTGATATAATGGTGTGAATTTCAAAATAATTGTGGCAATGTCCCCCTATTTTAGTGTAACGCAAGAAGGCAACATGGGAGCAAATAGGATAGTGCTGACCGATGTGTTAGTGTTGAGAGCTGATCATTTATTAGTTCACAAACTTTTGCTGGCTAAAAGAAAGAAAAAAAATGTTTTGTCATAACAGGCCAGTTTGATCTGGAACTCAAATAAATACAAATAAATACAGGGTGTATGCTGAGGTGTCAATATGGCGTTTAGGAGGTTACATATTCAAAAAGTGGAAAGCGATGTCAACGAAACATGGCTTCTGATCCTGAAGAGTGGGAACATTTTACCGTCACATCCCCAGTCAGGTATCTACGCACAGATTGTGAATGTAAGCAGCCACTGAAAGTATTTCAGTTATTACAGCTCCACCGACACAAGGTAATGATTTTACAGGTTTCCATCAGCGCAGACTGTAACAGCCCATCACAGCCCAAACGAACGCCCGGTTACCTTCGAGGGTACCCCGACGTCGATCCGGAGCAGCAGTAGACAGGCGGAGTAATCGTGGGGAAACAAAACGAGACGCATTCAAGCCACACAGAATGATAATATCAAATTAAGGTCAAACTGCAGTGTCACAGAGGTTTGCTATGAGATATAGAGGAGGGCGACGACATGAAGAGAGGCTCGAGTGCTCCTTTTTTTAGAAGATTTGTTGTTCAAAGAGGATCTTCTCAAATCCTTGTGGAGCTGTGTGATAGAAGTCACTGAACTGGCAGTCTAAGATGGCGCTGTCATCCACTGGAACGACACAAGGAGAAGACACAATCAAGTTTAGATGTAGTATATGAGGCAACCTCTTAAAACTAATTGTTCTTTATATTTTTCACACAATAATTTGCCTCCTAGTTGTATGAATTGTTCTGTATTAGTATGTAGCATTAGCAGCTATATATATAAAGAAATAAACACTGGGTTTTCTTCATTCTGAGACAAACTTTGTAAGTCTCATCAGGACTTTGTGTGTGTTTAAGCTGACATTACCAAACAACTCTACCACTGCTACCCATTCTTTTAATTTAAATATTGCTATGGCACGCTCACATGACAGAACCAAAACTGTACCTACATTTGTAGAAGAAACTGATTGAGGAAACAGAATTTTGGGGCTTTAAATTTGGAAAAAAACAAATTCTACAAATAGACAACATCTCATCTGTATGTTTAATTGCTGTAAATGCATTTCCACCAAGGCTAACAAATATTTTCTTTGCCAATTTTTTTCTCAATTAGCCACAAAATATTTAGTGACCCATCAGGAAAGGCAACAAACCAGAAAAAAATGTACATTTAAGAAGCTGGAATCAGATAATGTTGACTTATTTCTTTAAAAAAAAAACAAAAAAAAACAACTGATTAATAAAACATCTAAATAGTTGGTGATTAATAGTTGGTTTCGAATTGTTAAATAGATTATTACAGCACTAATGTATCTGTTGAGGCATTTATGCAACAGAGCTGCAACTAACAACTATGTTCACTGTCGATTCATGTGTCAGATAGTTTTCTCAATTAATTGGCGAGTTGGAAGTTATAACACGAAAGAAAATGGTGAAAAATGACAATGAGTGTTTCTCAAAGAAAAAGATGGCATTTTCAAATGTTCTGTTTTGTCCAAAACCCAAAAATATACAAGTATATTGTTATGGAAGTATTCACATATAAGAAGCTGGAATCAGACTTTTTTATTTTTTTTAATTACTCAAATATGAAAATAGTTGGTAATCACTTTAATCGTTGGATACCAATCGTTTAACCTTTGTATCTACTGAAGCATTTATGCACTTGGGCTTCAACTAACAATTGTTTTCATTGTCAGTTATTTTCTCAATTAATTGATTAGTTGGTTAGTCTGTAAAATGGAAGAGAAAAAAAAAAGGGAAATTTGTGTTTTTCAAAGCCTCAAATGTTTTGTTCATGCAAAATTCCCAAATATGCTGTTTGTTGGTATGTAGAATAAAATAAAATTAAAAAAAATCACATTTTAGAAGTTGGAATCAGTGATTTTTCTTTAAAAAAAGAAAAAAGAAAAAAAAGGACTCACACCGAAAGATTATTATAACAGCATGTGGTTAATTTAATAGTTGACAACTAATCAATAAGTCAATAAATTATAGCAGCTCTAATTTACATAGACCCTTTGGAGATACTGGGACCTGTAACAGTAGCATAATAAGTGTGAATAACACAATCAGTGGTTAAAATTCCATTGAGGTGATTTGGTTTCAGTGATCAGGTATTATGTGTGCTGACTCTATGTGACACAGTCATGGCGTTTCGTACAACCTGTGCTTTTGTCACAAGGACCCAGAAATGAAATGAGTGTTGTGAAACAGGCAAGCTGGGTTAAAGATTTAAACCCATGATGCATGTAAATGCAGCTACAATGTTCGATCACTTTGATAATGTTTGGCCACATCCTGTGTCAGTACTGACAGGATCAGCCTGAGCTGGTTCACTACAGTCTAACATATATTGTATTACTAAGCTGTGTCTTACTCAGATAACATATAGCAGGGTTTTTTGCATTGTCATTGTTTGTTCTGAGGGTTATTTATTCTTTAGAAATTACTCAAATGCCTTGTAAAAGTAATAATAAACGTTAACAGTGGCACTTACAGTATCCCACTGAGCCACAGCAGTAAGCACAACATCCCAGAATCCAGCTCACCAAATATTACCATTACTTCAGACAGCCCTTTTCAAAACAACCTACAAGTTCTTTATAAAGACATAAATGAAATGCGGTCACTTTTCATGTTTCAATTACGCTTCTCCTTCTGCGACAAGCCAAAAAGTAGGCTGTGAGAAAGCTCTATTACTGATATTTGAACAGAATATCACCATTATAATTTGGTAATACTTTAAGCTTCAGGTACTGAATTGTTTTTCTCAACTGTGGCCTGGAATACCTGGTCGGCTTAGTGAATGACTCATTATGTAAATCGCTTCTCAGCTGGAGAACCAGCGCCACACACTCCCAAATCAACTGACACACCAACTCTGAGACTGTTATGACTGAAAGTTATCATCCTGAGGTGTGGTGGCAGCAGATAAAGTTTGTGAATCATAGCTGAGCAATCAATTCAAAAAGCAAGTCATTCACCGACCCAGGAGCTACCGACACTGTGTGTTCCACATTTTGAAAGAGGAATGGCAATAATACTGTGGCACTGTACACCAACGCATATGGTGAAAACCTTTTAGGGGTGGGTAGCCAGTTTAAAGTCAGTATATTAGTATTCATAACTATTTATATTGAATGTAGTTACAGATGAAACTCAAAGGGGAAAAAAATAGTGGGATTGAATGACGCACATTTAAATAAAAAGTTAAAATAGGTAGGTTAGGGAAAAGTGAGAATGTCATTATTTCCATAAGTAGTGAAATTTAAATTCTTTAATGGTAAAAAAGACAAAAAGATGAATTACAATGAAATCTATGACAGCGTCCGTGTTGATCCTTTGATCACATGGAAATATTTTCAAGCTACTTGGTAAATTAACAACCTAATCAAAGTTTTTATTTACCGGTGTTACTGTAAAAGGGCAACAGGAAAAGCTGCCACTAAGAACAAACACCCTGCAAGTCTTTTTTTTTGGCAGAATTGTACTACCAGTTGATTTCACTGACTAGTTCAACATCAAATGGAAAGGAGAGGCCAGTTACTGAGATTATTTGCTGTAGCTTCTCACCAGAATAAAACCTGCATGTCTTGATCCTGTCCCTTTTCTGCTCAAGGCTAAGTTTTGATTAGTTTACATCAATCATTCTCAGATGTGTGGAGAGGTGAAATATTCAAATAAAAATCCTTGTAAGCAAAACAAACAGCCCCACAGGAGCAATCTATTGTAAAAAATGTACAAGTACAGCCCTCTAGTGGTGCACAGATGTAATGGCATTTCTAAACAAACTCTCCGTCACGTTCTCATAAAGTTGTCTCAATCATAAGTAGATAAAAATAAAGCAAAGACTAAGAAACCATGGTAAACTAGTCTGCATGTGAGAAAGACAAAGAAACTTACCATAAACAACAGGGTAGACAGTGCCCCGGATTCCTGAGGCAGGACAATGCATGTTCTTTCCATTCAGATATAAATTCAGCTCCACGTGGTCATATGTGATGCCCTGAAGAACACAAACACAAATGCAAACACGCTTAGAAACACATTAAAATCTGGTTTAAATAGCATAAAGAAACATTTTTGTGTAGGCCTGGCTCATCACAGTTTTGATCTGCAACTGATTTTAAAACTACAGCAGGAAAGGTTTGGGCAAGATTTGAGCCGATTACATCAGAAACATAACAAGGTGCATACTGGTTTGAATCCAACAGCAGGCTTTGTTTTCTTGTTTTATTTTCTCTTACTGGACTGTGATAGCTTGAACTTTACTTATCACTGCATAATTATGGTTATTTGACACCTCTGTCCAAGCTGAGAATGTGAGATGAGAGGGAAAAAAATACATGACCAAAACATTTTCTAGTGGATCACAAATGTTGCTGCTTCTCAATTTCATATCAAAAACTTTGTAAATGACACATTAGTGAGCCCAGCAAGGCAAAAGTAAACACATGCACTGATGAATTGGTAATCTGTGTCCTTCAAGACTTTCAAAGTGTGGGCGAGTAGCCTGAATCAGTGACAAACCATGTAAAATAGCCACCAGTGTATTGAAAATATGACCCTTGTTCTTGGAAGGAGTGAGAAAACAAACAGAAAACAATGCACGTGGGTTTTGCACACTGCTGCATGACCCTGCAGGCTATTAGTCATAAACTCCAGGAGTCCCTGCGCACTTTATAGGTTAAATAATAACAACAGACACATGCAGAAATAGCAGAAACCAAAATAACAATGTTAGACTGAACAAAATGACGGATAAAAGGCACAGGTACATGCATAAGGACAGACACACACACCATCTCTTATTGAAAAGGAGATTTGCATAGATTGATCACTGAGTGGCTGCAATATGTTATGAAATCTTGTCATTTTATTCTGGTTTTGAACTAACTGTTAATAAAATAAACCCAGTATTACCTTAGAAAATACCTTTGAACATTTTTGAGGGTCTAGTTTGCTGCGTTTTGTTTTTTATAATATTATTGACATCATGTAACATCACACAAAATGACCTGGAATGATGCTTTGTAGTGCTTCACAAGCCCCAGCAGATGAACAATACACCCAACTGGGCGAGCATCCTATAATTTAAGATGTGACAGCTGGTAGTGTAACTGACCTAAATTTGTCTCCTGATAAAAATATTTTCTGTTTTGATAAAAAAATAAATTATAACAAGTTTATTCCTGCTCAACAGCTATAAGACAAGTTCATGTGTATAAATGTCTTATCTCCACTTTCTAAGACACTTTCTGGTGGTGAGGTCTCTCTAGTAGTGCTCCCACAAATGCAGTCGTTCTACTGAAGGACTTAACGGGTCCCCTGAGTAATCAAGGTTTAAGCATGCTGCATTGGTTTCTTCATCAGCAAGACCAACCAGTGTCATAAAATGAACTGGACTAGACATAAAGCAAGGATAACATTTTTGTGTTTGTATATTTTAGGTTTGAGAAACATAATAATCTTGGACAGATAATGACACACTGACAGTGACAGACAGAGATCTGAATTTGCTTTCAAACAGCACCCGCCTGCCCACAGGACTTTCTGCTGCACCAACTCACCCCAACAATCCATTTGCTCCAACCCCAAGTCAGTGTTCATTAAAATCACATTTTAAAAATGACTTCTGAGTCCTGATAGATAGCTTTGTAAACAAGTCCAATAAATGTTATTTCAGAGTAATGGCAAATGAGTTCTGATTTACAATCTGATGCTAAAGAGCAATTTGGGATGCATGCAGCAAACTCTGGCACAAACACAAGGCCATCCAGGCAGCACTGGAGCAGGCCCTGCAATGTGACTGTCACGATTGGAAAGCTGCCTTAGGGGGGAAAAACAAACAACTGCTGCAGGAATCATCTTAAGAGATTATTATAATTTCAATACTTAGAAAATAAGTCAGGGCTCCAGACTGCAAACAAGTGAGAGTGTGCTAGTTAAAACTTCAAGCAGTTACATTGGTGCGAGTGCATGATGATCATTAAACTGTATTAGTGTCGCTGTAGCTGGCGCAGGCAGCTACTGTGATAACCAAAGTGTTGGAAAGCAGTACGTTTATAACTTCAGTTTTCAGTGTTACTTATGCTTAAAAATGAGGCCTTCGTGAAAAACGGAGCTACCAGCATTTGCTGTTATTTCTGCTCATTTTGGACAAATCTGACACTAGAATGCCCTGATTTACTCTGTTTACGTCATTTTTTGGTCACACACCTCTCTGAGCACATCACAGATACCAACGGCAGCCTGCAACGTGGGCCGTTTATGGAACATCGGTAAATTGTAGTGTCTATCAATAGGAAAATGTTCAGCAAGTCACATGTTTGCCTGTGACAAGGTGGGACTAATGAAAAAGCTAGTTTGGAGCCTTGTATATACAAGATATTATTTTTTTAAATTCATGAATTAGAAATACTGCACCTTTACTTTGCAAGAAATTGTCTGATTTCAGCTCCCATGTCAGAAAACATATTAAGCTCTGGAAAAGAAACCCATTGGTTTACTAATGAGATGTCAGCTAATTATTTTAGTTTGTGTGTCTGTGCTCCCCATTTCTCACTAATTTACCCATATCCACATTCAGAACAAAAGTTCTTTGTTTTCAACTTCATGAGCCAACTGGCAACACTCAAATCTTTTTTAAAAGATTAGCACATCAAACTTAAATACGCAATAAAGAAAAATGATTTTACTACTTACCACAATGTCACCCTCCTGAGGAAGGCTGTTAGCGGGTAGACGATTCTTCTCCTCATTATTGTGGTACACAGAGCCATCATGCCTCAGGACTAGGCTGTTTGTGTCTCTGCCCAAAGGCACTTGGTTAAGATTCACTTTCTGCGTGGCCACACCGACTCCCCACACACCTAAACACAAAGGAAAACACTCATATGTCTATTACTTTCAGCCATCTTTTAACCGTGAAGACTAAATTGCATTTATGTTTATGATAAAGGATAGCTAACAGTAAATTGTATGCGAGAGTCACATGCTTTGCACATTTGCAAGTGAATGCTACCTGGCAAAACATGTTTTGGGACTAGAGTGAAGCTGCAGACTATGAAATATGTCAGGAAAAAAAAAGCAAAGAAAAGCTAGTTTGTGCTTTCAAATACTGCCTTTGTAAGTGAGCATGAATCAGTGAGCATGCAGTCACAAGACAGTGTTGATAATAAACTCCCACAAAGAATGCACCAGAAAATTGTGGTCTGCCAGGGAAAGAAGGCAGCAGAGGTAGGAAGACTGGGTGGTAAAAAGCTAAAATCTATGTGCTTACCAGTGGACTGGATCTTAAACTCAAAATAACTTTTGTTCTGGTGCAAAGGAGCGTTGGCCAGGCAGCCTCCAGTGCCACATATCCTCCGGCCGCTCTTTACAATGACAACATCTGTGCCTGCAAGACAAAGGAAAGAATATATTTCATTTTTCAGGAAACATTCAGTTCAAAAGTTACAAATTTCACAGTTGACATTTGTTTATTCTTTTTTAAATCAAGGAATTGTTTAGTTGACAAAACGTGTATCACATTTTAAAGAAGAAAGGGTTGGCAAC